AAACCTCACTGTATCCGAAGAAGGATTCCTTTTGCATTGTGTCGACCTGAACAGCATAAAAACACAAAAAAAGGCAGATATACAAAGATTCGCCAATCACTTCAGATGAGATTTTCATCATACGAAATGGAGTACACCACAAAAGGATAAAGTAAGCGAAAATAATCGTGTGTTTCCTATATCCCTTGCTGTCTGACTTTACATCTGACTAAACATTTCCTCTAGTATGTTCTAATAATTTAGTATCTACTTCTGAATTAAGCATTATTTTCGTGTGGAGCTTCGCTATAGATACATGCATTTGCACTTAAAACTCGTTTTAATAAGAGTATAGAAACTAAATTTAATAAGTGACCGACTTGTTGGCAACGATAATATGTAAACAAACCAGGCAGCATCAATTGATTGCAATTATATCTTTTCTCAACCTATTGTGCTATGAGGGCCTCTAGGATACCATTTTATTTGGATCCTAATGCTTGATCGATGCACCGTAGCCTGGTTTAATTATAATTGTTGAGTTTACTCCCATTTCGTATGAAAGTGATGGTTGAAGCGATTCGAAGGTCGTGTTTTGTCTTTACCTTCGTGCGTTCTCTGTGAAAGGAGAGGTGAACAAATAAAGAAGTGGGGAATAAAAACGGTCTTCAGGGAAACTACGACACTTTCTTCAGTCATGTCATATGATGGACATCATTAGAAGGAGATTGAAGGAGATTGCCTCGGAAACAACGTCAGCATGAATGTTTCAGTAAAGTCAATCGACAGCTGGTCAAGAGGAATCCGCCGTCGTCTTCTGGTGGAACCGACCTTCGAATCTCTTCACCCCCAACACTCACTCAAAATGGAAGTAAGCTCAACAATTATGAAACAAGAGATTCCTCGAAACCCAATTTTTCTTCATACATGTGACAGCGTGCGTTCTACAACATTTCTCTATCAGTCCGAATAGATTGAGAAAACGAGGTCAAGCCAACTCTAAATGAAACTGCGTCCTAGCTAGAGTAAATAATCAAGGTATTAGTAAATTCTTTAGATTTTTCATTTTCTTAAAGCTCTGCAGTATCGCTTTTATCTTGCCATTGAATCGAACCCTAGTAACTTCTAGGTTAGTCATCTATTTCACGTCCCATATCGCCTATCCTTTTTTTCTCCTTTAGTCTCATCTTTATAAACTTGCACTTTATATCCTTTCTAAATTGCCTACAGATGCCGATTATCGAGTTAGCGTGTTCACTGGTAACATTCCCGGGGCCGGAACGACGGCCGATATTTTTGTTCAACTGACTGGCCTCCTCGGTAGCGGTCGCGAGCACTGGCTCCGACCCAGTCGTCAGATGTTTGATCATTCCGGCAACTCGATCCACGGTCGGCCGACTACCGCGAGTGCATTGGTACATGATAAGCCCAGACGCAGCGAGATTGTCGGCTCAGCTGGTGCTCTCCTTCCGTCTCAACTACTGCAGCGGCCAATGTCTCGTCTCGGCCAGCCAGTTCCCATCGCATCAACCAAACCATTTGCTTCATCTTCACTTGTGCTTGCTAGTAGGCGTGCTCAGGCGGCGGCCCTTAATAGACATTGGTTCGAGCGCAACACTGTCGTCCAAGTTCGCCTCGAGGGCTGCCGACACCTCGGAGAGCTTGTAAAGCTCCGTGTAGGCCATAATAATCGGGGTGATTCGCCGTCCTGGTTCTTAGAAAAAGTATGTACTCTGCCAGCCTATAGTAGCATTGCTCTGATTTATTAGTCTTGCTGTATCCAATTGCCTGTAGGCATCGAGAATCGTTCCGATCCCTCATTTTTAGACAAACATATGTAGGAGGTTTAGAGGAGGCCCCGTTAAAAAACAAGTTGGCGTATATTTTATAAATGAGATAAGTGACGGAAGACTGAACAAATGAGAATATGTATGAGAGAAAGATTTTATTCATATATGTACCCAAAAAATATGTTCAACTACTCTAAATTTATAGATCACAATTCTTAAATTTGTTAAGTATTGTTATAGTAAGTATTCAGTATACATATTAATGTTAAATAACTGTCAATACTCATATATTGATCAGGCAGCCTACCTTGAAAGATTAGATTTGTACCAGTTATCACCATACCTTGTCAAAATCCAACATCTTTGTCCTAATGGAAATACTCAGAAGACGCCTCAATTTGTTTTAAATAGCTTTTATTAAAAAAAGTTAGAGCTAGTCATTTTCAACTACATTTTACTTTATATTATATATTTAAATATATGTATATGTATATCATATATATTATTTATAAGCCATCTTCAGTGTTTAGGGTGTATGTCATTATTTATAATAAATTAAAAATGTAGGGTGGTCTGGCCATTTAATGTATGGTTTTATTGAATTGTAAATAAATGGAAATTCATTAATTATTGAAGAGGTTCGAAAACTTTCTTAGTATCCATCTTTGAAACTGTACCATTAAAAGCAGTTTATCTCTGGACTAGAAGAATGATATTTCAAAAGCCATTTATTTTTTATTTACGCAGCTCCTCAATGGATTCATAGATCCACCGCCTTCTCCCTTAGAATATTCATAAAGCTGTGGATGCTCTTATAACTAGGACTGCCAACTCTAAACTTAATATTAATTGCATGTGTAAAGTGTAGATATATGTAGCATTACTGATTATGAATTAATTAGACAGAGGCCTATAGAAGAAATTTAAACTTTATTAATGGCCTATTTTAGCTCATAAACTCGGCCTAACTCCTGAATGTCATCATGAGGTAAGTGGGGTAATAGGGAAAATAATTTATATCCTTCTCTTTTAATGTCCTGGATTTCAGTTCAATAGAGTTTCTTAGGTTACAGTTGGTACAGCTGACATCTTGTAGACATTAAAGGCTAAACAGCCTAGACTGCAGACAAAATTTTAGATTCGGTAAACAGGAAGGGCGAACTCTGTATGCATTAACAGGATTAGCTCATAAAAGGATTGCTTTCTTTGCTAAAATACTTTCATAATATCTTCTGTGCTGAATCAAACCTTACTCCTTTTTATGAAGATTATCGTTGACGACATGACGATGGGCCGAGTGTACGAATTTCCGTGCCACCGATGGTTAGCCAAAAATGAGGATGATGGTAGTGTTACGAGAGACCTTGTTTCCAAAGTAGCCAAGCAGCCTGCACGGAAGACTGAGCAGAAAGCTGATTTGGAAACTTCCAGTGCCAAGTTAAAAAGTAAGTCTTGCTGCAAATTCAGCCGAGTCTCTGAAGGGATCTGTCTTGTTATGTGCTCTTCATGGATAGCAACGAATTAAGAATCTGCTCTTTTTGATTGTACAATTCTAGACTTTCACTT